TCAATGATTGAGCAACCATTTGTAGGTTCAAGAAGGATGCAGCCTCTAACCAGTTAGCAAGACATCGTCTGCTTGGCATAACATATGTTCGATCTTTTGAGGACCTCTTTCGCTTTTCACCAGGATTATCCAATTTATCATCATCAACGTCATCACCATCATCAAATTCTCCAATATCTTGATCATCAGAATTTGTTTTTGAAACCTGCCACTGTTGACCAAAAACTGTATTAGCTACTGCAACAGTTATACCATATAAGTCATTTGTGGTGACTTTATACGAAGCTAGGCAATGGACCATACACCTCATCAGCTGCTCATTCATGCACCTGTAACCTTCACGAATCCTTACTTGATGGAACATAGCAGGATCATTCTTCAATAACTTAGAATTCGCTGGGTTGACAGCAGTTGATTTTGATGAATCTTGATAACTTAAATCATTGTCTTCAATGTCATCAATATCATGCATTGCTTTTTCAAGAACCTGTAGTATTTTGATATTCTTTTTTAATTTCAATTCTTCTTTCTTCTTTAATGCCATATCCTTGCTTGCTCTTACAGTAGATAGAAACTCCTCCTCCAGCTGTTTTACCTTCTGGGCAGTTTCTGATCCCCATTTCCATCTGATTTTCTTGTCTTTATCCACTAGATCAACAAATTGCGGATTACACAAAAGACCATTAGAAGAAACAATATTCATTCTAGAATGAGTGGTTATTGTTGTCATTCCACCAGCAAATCTAATTCTGTTATCAAATTTCCCCAGTTGTGATTCACATCTAAGATTAGTTAATGGTGCATATTTTAATTTGTCCAGGTCTGGAATCAACAGTAATTCATTTGCTTCTGCTTTTGGTTTGAGAAAGTCCATTTCATACAACTGGCGCTGCAGCATTTCAATTATTTCATTTATCACGGCTCCAATCAATCTACCTTTTCCAGTTTCGGCTCTGGAGAGATTCTTCTGATGCAACTCCAGACTTTGTAATTGGCTTTGAAAGAAAACTCGAACTTGCTCCCAACTTCGTCTTCGGGCATCGTCCTTGCGACCATCAATTCCAATTAAATCCATTAAGGGAAATATTAACAAGTCACCAATTGCAGAATATACTTCAGTACAGCATTTAAACCAGGCGTTATCAATGAATGTGGAAACTGCTAGAACAAGTTTATATGAATGCCCGTCTACTACAGCATTAAAAAATTGTTTGATGTTGTCTTCATTTTGAAGGTATAATTTAGCCAACTCAACTATTCGACCAAATCTGTTTGAGACGAAACCCTTGAAACCACTTTGTTCAATACCGTTTTCTTCCATCCAATTTAAAAACTCATTGTACAGCGACACTGAATGTGATGCATGGCTGGGTGATAACAACTTAGTAATAGCTATGATGTCTATGATGTAGACTTAAAGATTTTCCCACAATCAATTAAATTTTCGAGACCAATTCGATTTTCTCAATCTCTAAACACTTTATCAATCGCACTATCTACTCCTAAAATGACATGAGCACAACATTTAAGAATTTTATCAGATTGAACCTCCATACACTCAAGCATTTTAGAACAATCAGCAGCCCGGTCAGTCATCCAAAAATCTATGTGTTGTTTTATATCATCAAGTGAAGTATCAGCTAATATTGCCAACGATTGTAGCTTATACTCATATGCCTTAGCAGCATCTTTTCCTGTGTGTGATACATTTTCAATATATCCAGTGGTCATTGTTTTCTTTCCAGTTGGTCTACAGATAGTTATATGGTCATTTTTTACATCAATCACTTTATGAACTGCTGCCTTTGTCGTATCATCTAAGCCTATTGTAACTACATTGTCATCTTTTTCAATCAATGATTGAGCAACCATTTGTAGGTTCAAGAAGGATGCAGCCTCTAACCAGTTAGCAAGACATCGTCTGCTTGGCATAACATATGTTCGATCTTTTGAGGACCTCTTTCGCTTTTCACCAGGATTATCCAATTTATCATCATAATCATCATCAACGTCATCACCATCATCAAATTCTCCAATATCTTGATCATCAGAATTTGTTTTTGAAACCTGCCACTGTTGGCCAAAAACTGTATTAGCTACTGCAACCATATAAGTCATTTGTGGTGACTTTATACGAAGCTAGGCAATGGACCATACACCTCATCAGCTGCTCATTCATGCACCTGTAACCTTCACGAATCCTTACTTGAGGGAACATAGCAGGATCATTCTTCAATAACTTAGAATTCGCTGGGTTGACAGCAGTTGATTTTGATGAATCTTTATAACTTAAATCATTGTCTTCAATGTCATCAATATCATGCATTGCTTTTTCAAGAGCCTGTCTGTTCAGATCAGCTTGTAGAAAAGTATTATTCATCATTAACTGTCTTTTAGCATCTTCAGCTTTCTTTATTTCTTCAGTTCGTTTTTTCTGCTTCATCCATTTTCGTGGCACTGATGGAGTAGTTCGTGCAATATAAGAACCATGGCAATTATCTTCATAAAACAAATGATCATCTTGGCACATTTAACTCCAAATTCTGTTTCCATCTTTTTCTCGTACTGCTTATCCATGTTGCGTATATTGTATGCATTGCAGGTCATTTTTTTGTTGAACGTATTGACTTTCTCAATCCATTTTGCAGTTTTAAATTTACTTTCGCGACACTCTACTTTGCGTAATTCAATGAGAGTTTCATAATCATCTTTAATTTTCTTAGCAATGCTTCTCTCGGACATGGGATATACTTTCTTTTCTAATCTTGACTTATTTCATGAGCTACTATCTCTAATAATCATCTTTTGTCCCTTTTCTGGTACTTTTCATAATGACATCATTCTCCCCATAATGATGACACCAGATGGTAATTTAGCTTCTGTATTATAAAAATGTATCTCTTTATAACAAACATCACACAGTTCTTTGATGACATTGTCACTCCGTAGTTTGAGTTCACTGAGTTTATTCATAAATTGGCTGTAGAAATTGCACTGTGCTCACTAATCACAACTAAGAAGATAGCTTGCCAGGCAAGGTAACATACGCCCACTGGCAGCTGTCAGAAATGATATAACAGTCTTTAGTGACTAAAGTATGAATTTTCTCATATTAAAGAAATTTTAATAGTTTGAATTCATTGATATATATATTTACTGCCAGGTATTTATGCTCGGAAATACCACAAAATTTTTAAAAATCAATATCAATAATCCAAACACATCAAATTATCGCATTAATATACATGATCACACCAAATTTAATCAAAATCAGTGGAAAACTGTAGTCTCTCTTGTGTTCACACAAACAAATTTTGATGCGTGTTTCCTAAATCAAGGGCAATAACTCAAAAACTGTTCATTAAAAGATTGTCAAATTCGAAGTTGACCAAGATCATCAATATGAATGATCACACCAAATTTCATTAAAATCAGTTGAAAACTGTAGTTTCTATTGTTTTCACAAACAAATTTTGAAGCATGTTTCCTAAGTCAAGGGCAATAACTCAAATTACGTTCATCGAAAGAT